GTAAGGCAAAATTGTCTCCTATATTTTTGAGATTTATCACTTTTTATCAATAATTTTCATCATCAACATTGCATATAAAACCCACTGGTGGTTTTGGAGAGTAAATAAAATGGCTATATGTGTGTTGTAGTCGTGTTCCTATCACCACCACTGTAAGGAAAATTACACAAAATTTCACATCAAAACACTCTGAACGTGTTTACACCTAATTAATAGATTTAGGCAGACATTTTTACTAAAAGAATGACATTGTGAGATTCAAGACCAGAAAATTCCATAAATAAAACTGTGTTAATGCTGAGTTAAAAAGGCAACACCTCTTAAATGGCCAGGTGGGCCCACAGATTTATTACACACTTCTATAACCTAAGAATAGCTCAGCCAGTTTACACTGAAGCCTGTGTAGTTACTGAATAATAAGCCTTGGGATTTTAAGGGGTTAAAGCAATAGATTGATTCCCCTTGCGAAATCAATCAGCCAAGACAAGTTTGGTGTCTGAAGTTTGCTTCTTTAGTTTGGTGCTGGAACTACAAGGCTTAAAGCATCATGTCTACCTGTGCAAGCATCATGTGAACTGCATGCCTAAACAGACTAAATATATTTCCTGTTTCGAGACGGCAGCTGCTTCTGTTTTAACAATCCAAAGTTCTTTAGTTCATAGATAATAGTGTGTCATACAGTGTCAGAAGCCACATAAGCAGGTCTATCTCAGATTTGCTAACTACTCAACATTGTTTGGGATGATTTACGCATGATGCCAATTGCTCAACTTAAACTTCCATTGCTTGTTAGCTAACCTACATTACCGAAAACCTAAAAACGGAACACCTGACAAGAGGCAAACGTGAAAGAAACAAACACCAAATGTATCTTGCTTGATTAACTACCTTTGGAATGAGGAGAGAATCTGATTTTTTGCCAAACTATCACTTTACTGACCAGTCAGACCAACATCACAGACTCTCTGCGTAGTTCTGGAGCAGATCCTCAAACCCTTTAAAGGGTAATTCCACCACCTTTTCAAAATTTCTGCATAATTCAATCATTAAGATGTAAACAAAGTCATTCAGGGTGCTTTGGTGTGACGGGCTCTGTTGTAGAGAAACTTACAGAGTCAGAACTGTTTACAGTGGTGACTGGAACCAGATGTCTGAAGAGTTCAATGCCTCTAAAAGTATTACAGTAAGTGGTTACGAATATGCTGCATGATGACTGAAACACTGTTTAACGACAGTTTAAGGAAGGTTGTGGCCTAGAATGCATTATGGTGGAGAGGTACATGTGGCGTGTTGGGAGGCAAAAGAGTGTCCAAAGAAAATGTATTTTTTTCAGATTTACCACTGTTTTACTATTAACAACATTACATGTTAAAAACTCACAAAAACATATAAAAACATGTATGTTCACTGTTTTTTAAAAATAGCCATATTGTGTTGCAGACAGGTTCCCATCACCACTGTGAAGAAATCTGAATCAGTAAGTTTCTCTACAATGAACCATTTCACACTAAACCACTTCGAATAAGTCTGAAGGAGCTGCTTTTTATTTCAACAACTGAATTAAGCAGGAAATTTGAAAAATTAGTGGAATTCCCCTTTAAGGGATATATATGCAGTGCAAAGGGGGCACAGGACCAAAAATGGGAAGCACTGTTCTGGACGTCAGCCTGTACACCTCAACCACTGTAAAAGCTCTAAGTACTGTTTTCTTACTGCAAAATTCATAAATCATTCATGTTTCTGGCCCTATTCTCTGATATGCGATGCATTCTCCTAAATATGAGTCCTCAGTAGCAGGGGGGCTGCCCATACGCACTTGGAAACTGTAATTTGCATAAACACAGCAGGCATAAAGCAAAGAAAAAGGAGCTCTATGCCCATAAAACATCTTTTTAAAAGCTACACACTTCTGTGTTTTCCCCGCAGATGCTCGCGCCTTGTTTAGTGAATGAATAAAACATGATGGTGGCCTTGAATGATTTAGGCACGGGTGGGTGGCGCGTGGAGCCCTGCCTTGGCTTCCCCTCTCTTTGTGTGTGTGTGTCATTGAAACGGCACGCGGTGACCTTGAAAATAGGCTCTATGCCACCAACTCATAACCCCCGCACTGCTGAGGGAGCCAGCGCAGGATGCCAATATAAAACCATTAGGACTGGAGAGGCAAGCTGGTAGGATCAGCAATCAAGGCTGTGTATGTGGAGACGCGTGTGTGGGTGTTATACAGGTGGTACAAAGATGCAGTGTAGACTACTAAAACATTCAAATACAAATATTTATTGCAGTGATCAAGACTGAAGGTGAAGGTACACGAGGGTGTGATCATATCATGTACGGCCTATATTATGAGAGTGTCTATTCTATTTGTAGTATACGGTTTATATACAGGTATGCACAATAATATCGGAACCACTGGTATTGGCATCAGCATAAAAATGCTTAGTGGGCCCATATGTTACATTTTCCTTGAACTTGTCGTCAACTTATATCGATTGTGTTGATTTATGTACCAAAAACAGTCACAATCCATTTAACAGGACAGTTTCTCCCTCTCTTTATCCCTTAGATTACTTAGATTCCCTTAGATTGCTTAGATTATTAGATGTTACTGTGTCTTTAAGACTGGTATGTATGTACATGATGTCTGTTCTGATTGGTTGCCCTGCATTCTGCCACATTCAAAAAGCTGTCCAGACTGAAACACTCTTTATAACTTCATTTTGAATGGACACTGCTAACCTACTGTAGAATGAGACGGATGTATGTAGATGCACTGGTTTTCATGACATCACCAAAACAATTAATTGAAATCAGGCTATTTTTGCAGCTTAGTTTCCTTACAGGCTTTGGAACTTTAGCCATATTACATCAAACAAAATTTGGTTTTCAATAATGTGAGAACCCTTAAGGAATAGTACAGCAAAAAATCCAGTTTTTCCAAGTATCCACTTTCCCTAGATCAGCCAGGACATGTTTGTTGTTCAAACTTGCTTCTTTAGTGTCAAACTAGAGTTACAAGGCTGATGTTGCTAACAAACACTGGAAGTCAATAGTCACCTAAATCTTTTCTGTAATTATATCCCCAAAACGTCTCTCAACCCGCTCAAACTGCATCCAGCTCACACAGACTTGCCGATGTGGTTAAGTGCTCAGTATAACTTACTGAGCACTTAAATGAACAAAACTGCTGCCCACAACATTCAGCTATACGGTGAAGTTTTGTTCATTTTTATCATCAAGTCACTTCTATCATTTACATCGACACGTCTGCGCTACCTTAGTGAAGACCTGTATCCTGTCTGAGTCGGCTAAGAGAAGTTTTGGAAATGTTTTAACAGAAAAGATTTGGGTGACTATTGACTTCTAGTGTTAGCCACATTAGGCTTATAGCTCCGGCGCTAAACTAAAGAAGCACAAACATGTCTTGGCTTATTGACTACATCTGGGGTGAATGGAATTTGCGTTCACTGAAAAATGTTAAAGAGTGATCAGCATTGGACAGATGTTTAGATCTGACTGATATTTGAAACCAATATTTGATGATTTCTTGTATTTATTGTACTCCAGAAAAGCACACTGATCTACTGCCCAAAATTGTCTGCATTTTATTCATTTTATGGCATTTGTAACTCTATAGGAGTTAAATGTTATGTTTCTCCAAGTGGATTTAGTCCTAATTTCTACATCTTATAAATGTTTATGTATCGGCATCAGCAGATATGTACATGAAAGTACTGGATATCGACCCACAATTCCCATATCGGTGCATCCCTTTCCAGTGCTGCTAAGGTTGAATTGTAAGGGCAACACATTATGTGTTCAGTGGCTTTATCTATCAGTCAGATTTGCTTCCATGGCCAAGTAAGACTTGCTACTAAATGCAATTTAATTCAAAAACATCAAATACATCATGTGCTGATACTTGTCTGCATTGCATTGTATTCAAGCATGTGTGCGTGTGTGAGTGCATAGGCATGCACATCTGCGACCATTTATCTCTGCTTATCAGACACACCGAACAATCAGCCTCGCTGCCTGCACAACACAGCTAGTGGGAACAGCTGGTTTGTAGGGCTTTATCATGTTTACAGTGAGCGATTTATGAGCTATTACCAGTTTATCACCTGACATCAATACTATCTCAGGCTTCGGCATGGCCGTCATGATTGGCAGTGATCTTAAAATGACTTGATCTTGTCTGGTTCACAGAGCAAGAGCAGGCAGGCAGGCTGCTACTGCACCTGCCAAAACTTCTTTTGGACACTTTTCCAAGGAAAACCTGAGGAGAGCGGCTGCTGCTGTCATAACAAGTGGGCCTGCCAATACTGCGGCTTCATCTGTCTCACCTGCTTCATCATAACATGTATGATTAGGCAGTCATTAGATAGGCACCACTTATCGGATACTGACAGAAGCAGTGGGGGATTCCTGACCCATGCTGGCGTGAGGAGGCCCAGAATAACAACGAAAGAATGGAAAGCATTGATCCAGCCAGGTTCTGTCTTCACGGGGTGTGAATACATGGGCTACAACAACTCCTCGTCAACAAAGGCTCCTAACAGAAGACCTCTGATATCGTCTAGGCACCTTTTTGGGTCATTATCTGATCGCAAAGAAAAAAGCAGGCCTATGGCATTTGCCATGCCAAAATCATTCATGAAGCACATCATAAAGGTCATCCCCATCCACACTTGCTCATTGTGCTCTGGGAGTCTTTTGTCTGGGACCCCCCACACCCCCCCACCCCTTCTCTCCTGCACCGGGCTACACATTATGCACCTTTAAGTCCAGCCGCAGCACCAGCAAACAATATGAGATCTTATTCACTCCATACAAAAGCTGTTAGGAAACATCAATTTAACAAGGTATATGTTTAGAATAGGGGTTTACAATACAGGATATTGTGCCAGAGGGGCAAAAGCAGCACTAATAGTGCTTATAGAGAAACAGCCTGGAGGAAAAAATGGAAAAAAGAAAAGCCCTCCACGCTCAGTCATCCTTACCGGATATTTCTGAGTGAGGCACCCCGTTGAGCGTGAAGCCTTTGCCGCTGTAGAACTGGCGAACCTCGGCGCAGCTCTTAGCTTTATCCGCGCACACGCATACAGCCAGCAGGCACAAGACGATGGAGACTGGGGCGAGATCCATCCTCAAAGATGTGAATGAGCGATTTGAAGAAGTCCTACAAAACAAAGTAAGGCACCCAGTGTCTCTAAATCCACCTTTCTTGAAGGTCCAGATGGAGGGAGGTAGACCGGCGCGTCTCGCCTCCTCACGCCCGGCCAGGTAGCGCGTCTCACGGCGTGTATCAGCCACGCAGTCCGGGGGGGTTCAACTCAGCCTCACGGTCGGTCTCTCAGTCCGGAGGGTTTCCGTGTCGGCTGCTCATGTCTTGTCAAAGCCGGCGATGAAACATCTGATGTAACGTGCTGGAGGGGAAGCAGGAGCGTGAATGTGCAGCGGGAGCTCAGCGGTCCCTCCCCCGCAGTGTGGTGCTGCTTTCAGCCGCCTGTCCGTCTCCCTCCCCGGCTGCTGCTGCTGCTGAAGCTCCAGCCTCCAGCCCTGCGGGGAAGAGGAGAGAGGCACCTGCAGGGCGGAGTGGCGCCACCTACCGCCCACTATCTTTTTCCCCTATGGTTAATACACAGTTAGACTGCAAGTTTCTGGACACTCCTACGAATGAGTGAATTCAGTGCACGCGTTGCTGACACAGGCACACTCAGGCAGTTCATGATCTCCATAGGAAAGCAGTGCCAATAGAATGGGACACTCTGGAGCAGCCGTGCATGAGCCTAAGGCCACTTTGCCAAGTGCCGAAATGGGTATAAAGCCCCCCGCATTGGGCTGTGGAGCAGTGGAACTGCATTCTCTGGAGGGATAGAGCTCCACTTAATACTTTTGAGTATTACGTTTGAGTGCCACACCTGAACATCCAAAATCAGTACCTGACCTCACTAATACTCTTGTGACTGAATGCAATCAGATCCTCACAGCAATGTTCCAACATCTGGCGTAAAGCCTTCCCAGAAGAGTAGAGGCTGTTACTGCAGTAAAGAGGGACCAACTCCCTATTAATACCCTTCATTTCAGATGTCTACAAACTTTTGGACACACTGTACGACACATGTAGAAAAGGCTTAAAGAAAATACCAACCACTCTTAAAAAAGATGGTTCTTCAAGGGTTCTTTAGTAAAGGGAATGGTTCCATTGAGAACCATGGGCTCTATATAGAACCATTTCATGCTTAAACGGTTCTTTGCATAGTGAAATCGTTCTTCAGATTGATGGAGAATGCGTTGTCTATTTTTGAAAATGGTTCTGTATAGCACCAAAAGGGCTCCGCTTGTCAAGCTTGTAACAAAGGAAGAACCCTAGGGTGCTATATAGATGTTCCACATACAACACATTCTTCATCAATCTGAAGAACAATTTCACCATGCGAAGAACCATTTAAGCATGAAATCGTTCTAGATAGAGCCCACAGATCTGCATAGAACTATTCCCTTGAAGGACCCTTGAAGAACCATTCTCCTTACACCTCTCTCTCTCTCTCTCTCCCTCTCTCTCTCTCTTTCTCTTTCTCTCTCTCCCTCTCTCTCTCTCTCTCTCTCTCTCTCTCTCTCTCTCTCTCTCTCTCTTTCTCTTTCTCTCTCTTTCTCTCTCTCTCTCTGTAGCTCAATGCTGCTAACTCAAAGAACCGAAAGCTAATCTTTGGGCTCTTTTACTTTTTTCTTGCTGGTAAACGTGTGTTTTTCTGTGTACTTTCACTTGAGCTCTGTAAATAAAGTTCACATTAATATCACTTCCAGTATTTTGACTGTGAACATTGACAGTTTTTATTTCATTCATTTTATAGTTGCAAAGAGAAACATTTTAAGATGCACTACTTTACTGTTGATCACTCTGCTGCCGGTGTTTTGAGGTCATTTTGATAAGCTAACACCCCACCATGACTGTGCTGCATTCATCTTCCGTTCACAATAAGGGTTAACGTGCACTGACATGAGTCTGTAGACAAATCAGACAAAATATGAGTGAGTCAGTTTAAAAAAGACACCCTGCATTATGAAGACATTCTTAAAATGTTTGAGTTTGAAAGCTGGGAATGCAAACATTTGGGCGCCTCTGGTCAAATGACCTGTTTTGTTGATTCTCTAATCTCCTCTGCAGAGACACACAACATTTTAATGCACAGTTGCTGTTTATTTGCTGAATATGAAGATGTCCATATACTACATTTTTCAAGCATTTTATACTTATTGTTCCACTTAGAGGTCCACTTATGATGTTTGTGAGGGTTTATGTACCAGTGATAATTCATTTTCAGATGACCATTTTCCAGCTTCTTTGTATCCCTTAGAATTAGTTACTGTTACTGTGCCTTCATGACTGATATATTGTCGCTGTCCAAAGAAAACCATGTATCTCCATTTTTGTCGATTTTTATTTTTCCACATCATTTCAACACACCAGCTGTCCTTTACATTGTGGGAAAATTTCATGACGAAAGGACAAAAAAAAATGCTCCAAAATCACTTAGAATAAAATCTCTTTACATTAACTTACATTAAAAGGGAAACGTGTTTTTGATCCCTCCTGTAAAGTTACTATTTTGGAGACACTTGTTTTTCTTTGGACAGCGACAATATGTAAACAGGCTCCGTTTGGATTGGCTGCCTCATTCAAAAAGCAGCCCAAGTTGAAACACTACTTATAACTTCAGTGTGAATGGGTGGGGCTAAACATCTGTAGGCTCAATAAAGGTGAATATACATAAATGATTTGTTCTTTCATGACATCACAGACACAATGAATTTAAAACAGGCTGTTTGTGCAGCTGAGTTTGCATAAATGGGCTGTATGGACTGGGAGTTTTGAAACATAAACCCTTTACTGTACTGAACTGTACATACTACATCAAACTCTTTTGAAAGCGAGGAAAATGATATGAGCCCTTTAACATGTTAGGAAAAATAAAACACTAAGCATGTAATGCTGTGCAAAGTACTGGGACAGAATCAAAATGTCAACTTTTTACTTTTATAATTCCAAGAGGCCTCAATTCCTTGAGTCTCAAAGTCAGTCTTTAAGTGTTGGCACCCCCGTTTGAACCCTGACGACTTCTCAGTCTCCTCAGAAGACCCTGGTCAGCTGGATTAAGTGAGGGTTGGAGCAAAACCAGAACCGATCAGCAGCAAATATGAATGAAGGCCTATGGTGTCTTCCTCAGACAGCTTTGTGGACCGAACTTCTTGGGTTCCTGTGTAGAAACAAAGTCAGTAAACATTTATATTTCAAGCTGTTCTACTCTCAGTTCTTGGCTTCTTTTTTTAAAACGAATGTTCATTACACAGCAGAAAGGAATGCAATGTTTTAGGAATTTCAGTCAATAATGCTAATGTTGCTGACATTGAATGGAAGCAAATAGCCCCCAATTTGCGTCATGATAACTAGCTTCTCTTTATCGTTAGCAACATTAACATGTTTGGTTGAACTGCTCCTTTAAGTGTTTTAGATTTGCTTTAAGCCCATAAGCCGGAAAATCCACTGTATATAAGGCTTATGTTAAGTCCCACTAGGAGCAATTATGCAAAAGAGAAAGCATTTCTCCAAATTAACTGATAATATTCATTAATAATAGTGACAGCTGTGCAAATTAAAAAGCCTTAATAGTTACAATCATAACATAGGGCTTATGTTGCTGCAATTATCTGACTTACAGAGTGAAACTGGTGGGCCGCACATGTCTATTGAATGTGACCTCCTAGCTGACATGGACGTCGTTTTACCAATAATTTTGCAGCTCACAGCAGTTGAATGGATGGTAATGTGGCCTACAGAGGCCTGCGCAAGCATTTAATGGGCATCTATCTCTCTAAAATTACACACTTAATTAAACAATCGACATAAATCAAAGAGCATCTAACGCCTCACAGTACATCCCATCACCAGCCTCTTGAATGTGAGCGGTATGTGATGTTAACTGGGTGACATAAACCAGTTCATAGACTGAAAAAATGGTTTATGGTCCTAATGTGTCAAGAGGCTGCACATGAATATAATATGCTACATCAATACCATTGCTTTTGTTTGCTTCTCTTGGTAAGAATTGTGTTGATGTAACATATTTTATTCATGTCACCTTTGAATTATGTAAAGACAAAGCATTTTTTCACTGTTAATGTTATTTATGGATAAAAACAAACTCTCTGTTCTTTCCACTCTAGTTATCTCTTCAGATAACACTTACAGTAACACTAGTCTGAAATTCATTTTTAAGCACAACAATCCTAACAGTTAGCATTTGCATTCAATGAAACACTAAATATTTGTTTTTAATGTTTGCATATTCACCTTTTTAATTATAGGCCTATTTTTCAGTTATTAGCCTTAAGACTCATTATTCAAAATGACTATGCTTTTATTCTGTAACCATTATGAAACTAATGTGTTCACAAGGCTATACAACTGACATACAGTCAGGTCCAAAAATATTTAGATATTGACAAAATGATTATTTTAGCTGCAGGAAATAAATAGTAAACATGAACTCAAAGTGCAGACTTTCATTTGAGGGCACTTACATCCAATTTGGGTGAACAATGTAGAAATTACATCCATTTTTATACACAACTCCCCATTTTTAGGGTCTCAAAAGTAAGTAGACAATTGGCTGCTCAACTGTTCAGTGGCCAGGTGTGTGTTACTCCCTAATTTTTCACTGAAAAGTAAGCAGATAAAAGGTCTGGAGTAGATTTTAAGTGTGCCATTTGCTTTCAGAATCTTTTCATTTCAAAATGAAGTCCAAAGAACCATCATTCGGCAGTAAAATCAAAATAAGCCCATCAGAGAGATGGCAAAGACATTAGGTGTGGCCAAATCAACTATTTGGTACATTCTTAAAAAGAAAGACCACAATGGTGAGCTCAGAAACATCCATAAAACCATTGAAAACAACAGTGGTTTTAATGGTGTGGGCATGTGTGGAACTGGTTCCCTTGCATTGATTGAAGATGTGACTGCTGACAAAAGCAGGATGAATTCTGGAGTATAAGGCTATATTATCTTCTTATATTCAGCCAAAGGCTTCAGTTCAGTATTTCAATACTCATTGTACTGTGCTTCACAGTGCAGATGGACAATGACCTGAAGCATACTGCGAAAGTCAAGACTTTTTTAAGGCAAAGAAGTGGAATGTTCTGCAACGGCCACCTGACCTCAATCCAATCCAGCATGTGTTTCACCCACTGAATGCAAAACTGAAGGTAAAACGCAGCGAGAACAAGCAGGAACTGAAGACAGGCCTGGCAGGGCATCACCAAGTGAGAAATCCAGTGTCTGGTGATCTCCGGACTTCAGTTCTAGACTTCACATGGTCATTGACTGCAAAGGACTTGCAACCAAGTATTAAAAATGACAATAATTGTTAGTTTGTCTAATTAATTTTGAGTTCATAAAAAAAGATTGTAATTATTACACTGTTCACATGATTTGTATGTAAAGTCTGAACTCTGAGCTCGTATTATTATTTAATTTAAACTCCAGTATGCTGTGGTAGACAGCTAAAACAACAAAAACTTTGTCTACATCCAAATATTTATGGGCCTGACTGTAAACCTACATAAACATTTATAAAGACTTATTTCAATAGTCTTTATTTGCTATAAAGCACAATGTGCAGAGTGTGGATTGGCACTGTCTTGAGGAAACAAGCAGGGATGTCCCTGAAAAAGACGTTGTCTAGGTGGCATGTTGCTCCAAAAGGTGTAGGTACTTCATGATAAATGGTGCATTCATAGATGTGCAAGTTACACACTAGTACACCTGCATACCATGGCAGACACTCACTTTTGAACTTTACGCTGGTAACAATCGGGATGGTCCATTATTTCCAAAAACTATCTGAACTTTTTAGACCACAGCACTTGATTTCACTTTGTGTCAGTTCACCTCAGATGACCTTTAGCACAGAGAAGTTGGCGGTGTTTCTGGATGTTGTTGATACGGCTTCCACTTTGCGTAGAAGTCTTAACTTGCATCTGTAGAGGAAACAATGAACTATGTTTACTGACAGGTTTTCCAATGTATTATGGAGCCCATGTGGTTATATTGATTACAGAACGTAATGTCTGTTTTTAATGCAGTGCCGTCTGAGGGATCAAAGCTCACGGGCATTTAATGTTGGTTTTTGGCCTTGCCCTTCACACACAGAGCATCCCTGAAACTTTAAATAACCATGTTATGGACTGTAGATTGTGAAATCCCTAAATTCCTTGCAATCGAGCATTAAGAAAAGATGTTCTTAACCTCAACACATCCTTGCTCATAAACATCTGAGCCTTTTGTGAATGCTCCCTTACCCAATCATGATAGCATCACCTGGTACCTTTTTGTTTACCTGTGCAATGTTGCAAAACAGGGGCTTTTGATCCGTCCACAAACTTCCTAGTTTTGCAATCCCCCGTCAGACCTTTTTTGGAATGCATCGCAGGCGTCAAATTCGCATATATTTACAAAAATCAATAAAGTTGAGAAGGCTAAATATTAAATATCTCTCCTTTGTGCTATTTCCAATTAAATACCTGTAAAAGTTTACAAATCACCGCTTTCTGCTTTTATTTGCATTCTACCTGCTCCCCCAACTTTTTTGGAATTGGGTTTGTATTTTATTGTCACATTAATAGACGTGATAAACAAATGTTACACAATTTTAGTTTATGAGGATATATATACATATACATACACATATAAATGGAGACAAACTGCTAATTGTTCAAAGTGAAGTGAAGAGTGTCCCACGGCCCTAAAAACATCTTGTATAACATTTTTATTGACTGATTTATGCGTGAGCACCTCATAACACATTATTGTGAACACATGTGCCAGGTACACATAGGATTAGCTCCTCTAAGGGTCATTCTTTCACTTATGTCCATAATGCTGAGAACTGAGGTGTAGAACAAATGATGGATTGACAATAATACAATGTAGACAATGGCAGTATTATGAGGTTTTGTCTATGTACATTATCTTCTGCTCCAATAACCTAATTACGAGTTCAATTAAGTAATCAAAGACTACTCTCATTCATTTTATATTGGTTACGCTCATCACAGACAACCCAGCGCACTACTTACTCTGCACACACAGGTTACCACATAAATATGTTAATTCACATTTTATCTTTTACATAAGTCCTAGAAATTTACTCAAATGGGACTAGAACAGTGCGATTGCAGTACTTTCTTGTACACACTTCATAAAAGTACACGCATACAGTCATACACAAACAAACAACAAACAAGTTCACGTTCCACACAGCCAGAATACAGCGAAGTGAGGTTGTAGTTTAATGGTACTTGAGGCAGTTTTCTTTCTTTAATATACTCTGGATCCAATATTGAGTACGTCAAGGTGTCCTAAACAGTACTTTCCTCAAGATCCATCATTCTTGAGAGTTTTGTACCTGCCCTAACCTTACACCCCTAACACAAGTGTTGAGATTAGGCCTGTGCCAAGGGTACAGTTAACCCAGTTACCATAGTAACAGCCCACCAGTGATGGTAACAATTCATTTACAGCCTGTTTTAAAAAAGTTAATTTTTTTTATTTATTTCACATAGTGAACTGAATGTAACATATTGGGGAAAAAATAAAACGTAAAATGTGACCTGTGCAAAAATATATATATTTTAATTTTATTTTTTCATATATGTTAAACTGAAATTGCACACTAAAATGAACATATTTAAGTTTGTTCCTTGTAGAAGATTTTTTTATACTTAGAAAATCATGTTCCTGGATGTACCTGTACTTACAAAGATAATAAGAAGAAGAAGAAAAAGAAGAAGAATAACAATGTTTTTTCTTTCAGTGATTTCGAGACAAAAACCTGCTGGTGTTCTCAGAACAACGGACTGACCACCCCAGAGTCCAGACTTCAACATCACAATGTGTTTGCAATTACTGGATGGTGAGAAGCAGGAAATGCAACCAACTTCTAAGACTGAACTTTGGAGGTGTGAAAAGATATCCCAGCAGATTTCTTTGAAAAAACTGAAAGCGAGTCTCCTGAAACGAATGGAAGCTGTGTAGATTTGTGTTAAATATATGTTTTCTACTTTCTTCCCCTTACATTGAAAGACGAATAACTTACTTAATAACCATTTTGATTGGAAATTAAATAAATCAGCGTATTCTCTGACTTTCACAGCACTGTACACTGATGGTATCATGTATCACTTGCTTGAATCTTAGCAGAATCTTAGCCAAGATAACCCTGCAGGACAGCAAACTTGCATGTTTTTTTTGAAGGATACCAAAATGTCATTGCAAGCACAGAGGAATTCTCCAACTACCATTTTAATACTTCATTGGCTAGTGCACTACATAAACTGCCACACAGACCAGAAAAACCCTACAAAGCAGGAAACCGCAAAAGAGCAAGTGTGCAAAACTGTGACTCGTAACACAACCTCGAACAGTCGAATCACTGACAAAGAAAAACAGAGGCACTTTCTCCAAAGCCAGGGCCGAGGGGTCTGACTCTGGTCAGCTGGCAGAGATCAGCCAGCGGAGAGCAGCCTGCAGAGACGCAGCATGGCGGGGTCATCTGTGAATGTGTAGACGTCCATCTAAGTGTCCAGTGCAAGTGCATACTTCAGTCCTCCACCGCATCCTATTGCACTCCTCCATGCATCGGGGCGGTCAAGCGGAGTCCAGGCCCAGGCGGGACAGCAGCAGAGGGAGGAGGAGAGGGAGGGAGTGGAGGATAGGGGAGGAGTCCAGAGCACAGGCTGCCCCTATAACGGACGTCTCTGGACGGGTTCTTGCAGTCGGGGGCTGGAAGGAGAGTACAGGCCGGTCTGCGAGAGGATAAAGACGGAAACAGAGTCAGTCAGTGACAACAAAGAGAAAAAGACAAAGACAGAAGGTCATTTATTCTGTATTCTCTATTAAGTGTAAGATGTACATTACCCATCAAAAGTTTAGGGACAAACTAGCTTTTCAAAATATTTTACCATAAATTAATGCGTGTTTTTCGGTGGTTTGCATTAACTTAACACATTAAAGACTATTTAAATTACAAATGTAATAAAAATAATATTTAAAAGGCTTTTTATTTGTGCAGTAAGCATTTATTTATGTAGACAAACCATTCCAGGTTACTTGCTATGGTGTTACTAGGCCATTGCTATACTATTCCAGGTGGTTGCTAACATATTGCTAGGGCATTGCTACTGTATCCCAGGTGGTTGCTAAGGTGTTACTAGGGTGTTGCTGTTGTATCCCAGATGGTTGCTAAGGTGTTGCTAGGGCATCGCTATTGTATCCCAGGTGGTTGCTGTTGCTGTTGTATCCCAGGTGGTTGCTAAGGTGTTGCTAGGGTATTGCTACTGTATCCCAGGTGGTTGCTAAGGTGTTGCTAGGGCATTGCTTATTGTATCCCAGGAGGCTGCTAAGGTGTTGCTAGGGCATTGCTACTGTATCCCAGGTGGTTGCTAAGGTGTTGCCAGGGCATTGCTACTGTGTCCAAGGTGGTTGCTAAGGTGTTACTAGGGCATTGCTGTTGTATCCCAGATGGTTGCTAAGGTGTTGCTAGGGCATTGCTATTGTATCCCAGGTGGTTGCCGTTGCTGTTGTATCCCAGGTGGTTGCTAAGGTGTTGCTAGGGCATTGCTACTGAATCCCAGGTGGTTGCTAAGGTGATGCTAGGGCATTACTATTGTATCCCAGGTGGCTGCTAAGTGACAGTTTCAGGACGTTAAGGAGGACTCTCATTCTTTTTGCATGAACGCTGTTCAAACACCGTAAGTCAAATCAGTTTAAAAAACTACAAGCAACCTTTTTGGGTAAAGGCTCTACAAACCTGCCAAGTGTTGTGGTTCTAGCTTGAAAGCTGCAGAGAGTAGCATTGCAAGTGTTTGACCATAGAATAATAAGAATAAGAAGAAAACAAAGAATAGAAATTTGGCTTAAAGTTGGCATTAATACAATAAGTAGTCATTTCAGGGGTGCCATTTCCAAACCTGTCCTTTTGGAAGGCCTGGTTGTTAATTTGTAATGAATGCAAAATGGTGTCTTTCTGTAGCTTATTTTTCTTATATGGACTGTATGGATTCGTGAGCATTTATATACTACATCAAACTCTTTTATTAATAAATAAGCAAGTAAATTTTGTTTTTCCAAGAAATGAGCCCTTTGATAATGCAAATGTATTGTTATTTGTAATACCAACAAGCTACTACTGCTCCTACTACTGAAGGAGACATGAGTAGATACATCAGAGCCAGTCTGAGTTAATTACAATGATAAATGTATATCACACACACACACACACACACACACACACACACACACACACTCGCACCTGTGTTGTTTTATGGTTTTGTGACAGGGGCTGGTGTGCGAGCAGAAACATATGTCTGATGTACAACAGATGATAAGAGTCATACATCACCATGAGGCAACTGCTGCACACACACATACAAACACATATATCAGAGTGTGGTATCTTATTTGTCACTGTGTGATAATAGATGGCATGCGTGTGAATATGTGCTATGTCAATGAGTTCACGCGTGTATTTGTGTGTACAAACACATCCATGTGCACATTTCATATAAGCGTTTTTTTTAATATAAATAAATAAATATAAATGCAATTACATTACATTACTAAATGTGTAATGATTCACAAAAATCATTATTTGATTTGATTTGATACTCATGTCTGGATTCTACAAATTTTTTGATACAAAAAAACTAGAGTGCCTGAAAATGTGGCTAATGTTAATATGTCAATGTTTCACTTTAAACTTGTTACAGAATTCCACAATATAAAAGTACAGCATTCTGTATATATTTTGCTAACATATGCTTACTCTGAGTGTGCTGCTCCTCCCTGCTCTTGATTTTGAGATAAAGAGGAAGCAATACGTTCAGAGGAGGGAGGGTCTGCTGTCATTTTGGGCTTGTTTAATTTTGATTATACTTAAGCAGCATAATCAGTATAAAACTGAGTACTTTATTTACCTGAGCTGCTTTTTTTAACGGTATAAAACGTTGTGTTGTTGCACTCCTAATAATTACATAATTACAACTGGAAAAGTGCTTTTCATGAAGAAAATGCAGTGATTGTACTGCTTAAGCTTTCTAAGATGTTGTTAGCCGGTTGCTATGGTATCCCAAGTGGTTGCTAGGGTGTTGCTAGGCGGTTGCTATGGTATCTCAAGTGGTTGCTAAGGTGTTGCTAGGTGGTTGCTATGGTATCTCAGGTGGTTGCTAGGCGGTTGCAAGGGGTTGCTATGGTATCCCACATGGTTGATGTTTGCTAGGGTGTTGCTAGGTGGTTGCTTTGGTATCCCAAGTGGTTGCTAGGGTGTTGTTAGGCCTTTGCTATGGTATCCCAGGTACTTGCTAGGGTGTTGCTAGGCGGTTGCTATGGTATCTCAAGTGGTTGCTAAGCTGTTGCAAGGGGTTGCTATGGTATTCTACATGATTGATGGTTGTTAGGGTGTTGCTAGATGTTTGCTATGGTATCACAAGTGGTTGCTAAGGCGTTGCTAGGTGGTTGCTATGGTCTCCCAAGTTGTTGCTAGGGTGTCGTTTGGCAGTTGTAATTGTATCCCAGGTGCTAAAACTATGTCTGATCAAAAAGCTGTATAGAAGCACATCATTCCTGATCAGACCAAAAACTGTTAGTGGACAAAAATTCGTCAGAAAAATAAGAACGAAGAAGAAGATAAAGAATAAGAAGAAGGATATAAATCGGAAAGCAATAGTGTTGCAAAGCAATGTGCAATCACTAAATATCAACAGTTCTGAGTCTGTACATCTGGCATTTGTCCATTTGTTTTAACATAAGAAATTGCAACATGACAAAAGCATAAATGATGGCTTTTATTCAGTTAAAGTAATAATACCACATCTCCTCTGGTACTTACAAACACACATGCAGAAACGCTTAAAAGCTTACAATGCACACTTTGGACAGCTCGTTTCAAAAGGTGTATAGGCCATGGGGCATCTGGGTCAAACAAGCTCCCCTTTATTATTTATCCACATAAAAACAGTGGTAAACCATGACCATTAGAGCGAGGCCTTCAGTCCAGGCTAGTGTCTCTGTAAGATTTCCTATCAATTTTTTTGGCCATTCTAGATTAAACACAAACATTTGAAGATTGACATTCCCTGTTTTATCTAAAGCTTGTTTTTCATTTCTAACAACTGAAACCTGGTTAGACTACGGCTCAGATTCACAGTCAGTGACATATCTAGAACTTCTCAAAGACCTACAGTGACATTTTGTCCAATTATAAATCAAAATGTAATTAGTCAAATCCTCTGTCACTTAATTATGTCGGTAGTTTTTTTTTTTTGGGGGGGGGGTTCCCCAGGTTTCTCCCCATTTTAGCTGTATCCAATTCCACCCACTAGCTGGGACTCCCCCAATACCACCAGCGCCAGGAGGGCGAAGGCAAACACAAGCTTCCTCTGACTCATGTGAAGCCTGCCACCTCATCTTTTCGAACTGCCGCTCACGCACCGTCACTGGACAGCCGAACGCGTACAGTGGAAAGCGCCAACTGCCAGATCTGAACAGCTAACAGACACCTGCACTGGCTAACACCGCCACGGATGGCTGTAGAAACACCAGGGATCGAACTCACGATCTCCTGACGAGAGGGGCCAACGCTTAGACAATTGTGCCACTTGGAATTATGTCGGTAGTTAAACAGGTTAGGCCTTCAGCCCAGCTCCTGAAGGCCTAACCAATAGCAGAGCTCGCTTAGCTGTATCCACGAAGATGCCACAGGAATAAATCTTGACAGTTTTTTTCCGATTGCCATGTCAAAATGTTCATTTTTGGCTGGAAACAAAAAGGTTAACAATCAAAATATTACTAGACTACTAGCAGAGATAAAATTAAATTAGCATAATCATAATTTTTTTTATGTTTTATTTTTTATTTTCATTAAAAAAAGGAAGTACAAACTACAGACATGTAGAAGGCCCTAAGGTTTCCCCTCTACTCTAATACAAGATGTACTGTCATTAATCTGGTTCCTGCTATGCCAAGAATGACATTAAAATGCAGCATTCAGTTCATCCACCAGCACCTTGTGCTGTATAGCAAGCCGCTCGTGGGGTATGTTTATAGTGCCTAACCCTCATTCTCCACACCCCAGCACCCAACACGTGTCCTCATAGCCATCCATGTCACAGATTCATGACAGACTCATCTTGCCTCAGACACAAAGAAAGAGAAGAGGGAGGGAAAGAGAAGAAAACAGCAGCAGACACACCTCTACAGTATGCAACTCGACACCAGCGTGCGCACAATGGCCACTGTGCCATCTGCACAATGCACAAAGGAGTCATTTATCTGCAATCTGTGCGCGGGGAGCCGTGTACGCAGATGAAAACAGAAAGTTTATCCGATCCGTATCACAGCAGAGGTGGAACGCCTTAGGGGCTTCTTGGGACTGGAAGGAGAGGTGTGAGGGAGATAATATCATGCGCGAATGTGTGTGTTTGTGTGTGTGTCTGCCAGCTTATGTTGAAAGAGCGCAATCGTATACAGTATATAATATCACACTTACAAAACCGCGACATTTGCGTAAGTTGTAAAGAAATTCTCACGGATATTCAGGTTGACTCCGCGGATTGCTGTGCATGTTCAAATGTCAGGTGTGTGTGTGAGTGTGTGAGTGTGAGTGTGTGTGAGTGTGTGTGTGTGTGTGTGTGTGTGTGTGTGTGTGTGTGTGTGTGTGTGTGTGCGTGTGTGTGTGTGTGTGATTATGTACCCAATCTAAACACACAGATATACATACTCACATATGATTTATCACCATTAAACTACT